AGGAATGAAAAAAAAATGGATGTATACATCCCAGTCGATGGTGTTTGTTTGCAACTCTGTTTTTACCTATTTATTGTTCGCTGTCATAGCTAGAGTGCCTATAAATAGAGTAACGTCAAATTAGCCATTTGGTCTTTTGCTCGATTGGAATCCCTAATAAACGGGTAAAATACACTAACGATATCATATATGGTACGACACTACCACATAACGTTGGGATGATATCCCGAATTGGTGGTTAGGTGCTTCTTATGGTTTTTGTTTATGCGGGATGACATATTCCAAGTCGTTGACAGATGATTCCAATTTTGAAATGTCGTCACTCTATTTATAGGCACTATAAGCCAACTTAGCTATCTCAGAGAGAGCAGTAATGTAAAGGTTTTGCGGCTGTACCAGTCGACCAGCAACAGCATGTTTGATGGTTACTCCCATTTAGGGTTTTTACTTTACTAATCATATTTTTACTAGGGTTGCTTCCACTCATTTGCTATAAAAAATGTTTTTCGGAATTATGAAATCATCAAATGTTTTAATGATGTGTTATACTTGTGAATTGCAAGAAGAGTTTGTAAAGTATGCATGTGCCTGACGCATAAAGCCTGTCAATATTGATTTCAGAGCGTCACAATATTCGATTTTACGATTAGTGAGCGCTTACTCACATCCAGGGCTCATAGTGACGGAGTCTCAAGAAAGAAACCAAGAAAGTCGACTTCTTCCTCTTTTATGTGACCTGGGCCCAGGTCAAGGCAAAGGCAAGCAGTCACGCTGGAGGTGTGCAAGATATGTACTTAAGTGAGTCATGTGATAAAAAAGGCTGTATGACATTTTATTTATGACGCACAACAAGTGAGTATGTCACTGTCATTTGAAAACTAAACCATGTCCCTATCACCCCATATTATCTGATATATTTTTGATATCGTTACTGAACGAATTGATTTTCACATAAATCTTCGTCAAAATCTCATTAATTTTTTACCTTTTTCAGATTAACCATGCAAAGTTTGCTAACCTTTTACCCTGCTTAAGTGTAATGCAGCGGAGAAGAGAAGAAAGGCACACATCCAGAAATAACAAAAACTCAATGTGTTGCCATCGCTCCGACGGATCCGACGCAAAGGGCGCCACAAAGTGTGTGGTTGTAGGACTTGCATCTAAATTTGGGCCTACTAAGCATAGCTCGCAATTTGCCTCACTTTTTAAAACATATTTTTACATAAAATGGATTTTTTCCACTACAGTTGTCTTCCAAATTTATTTACCTTTCCATACATAACAATAGATTTGATTAAGAATCTCAAACTGTCGAGATATTGATAATAATCTATCACCTTTTCTTGACTCCAAACTCGGTGTACAAATTCTGACTCCGTTCTAACGCATTGAAACACCATTGACTTTACTTTGACGTACGGATGAAGTTAAAAATGGAATGGAAAAATGGATTCGGTCAGAGCGCTTCTTTTGTTTTTGAGAAAAATTGGTGTAAACATTCATTGGTTGCCTTTGAACTAAAATATCTTACCATATCATCATCGATTCATTTACGCTGAAATTTGATGTTTTCTGCTCGATAGGCCCAATATGGGCCATTATGCCTAAGTAGTTATCTACCCTAAATAAAAAACCCAGCATAAAGACAATATTCGTTTTGCACTTCTTCATCTGCTATGCGGCAAAGACGGCAAAGAACTCAAAGAAGACGTTGTTGTATTTTATTCGCTCCCTGCACCACACGGAGTGCACCGCTCATTATGTGGATCGCTTTCTCAAAGATAAGTTGGAAAAGAGTGTGCGAAGCAAATAGGAGAACCACACACTTTTTGTCGAGTGAGGCGCTTTCCAGCCCTGATTCCATATAGGGTTTCATATCTAATTTCCATTCTACTAAGCACAACCCGCACTTAACCTCTCTTTTTATAATGGATATGAACCCAAAAATGGAGTGATTCTTGTGTAGATGTCTTTCCACTTTATTTACCTTTCAATACGTACCGTTGGATTTGATAAAGATTCACAAATTATTGAGAAATTGATAGATATCCAACACTGCTTCTTCTTCTTCTTCATTCTTTTATTTAACGTTGGTTTCTGTTCCGCAATCAAATGCCAATCACCGACGGACATCGATTGCCATCCATTGACGGCAATCAAATGTGCAGGAAGGCAGCTTCCATACCTGCGTAGTGTATCGCACCCATTCAACACACATGCGAAGGAAGACCTGACCAGAGATTTTTATGCCTCAGAAAAATCCCACCGACCTCGGCTAGAATTGAACCCAGACACATTGGGGTGATAAAGCAGTCACGCTCACCACTACCACCGGCGCCGGCAATACTGCTTCTTGATTCCCAATTCGTTCTACGAGTTTCAATTCCGTCCTAACGCATTTAAATGGTATTGATTTTTCTAGGCTTTACTACGTTGCACGAATGCTGGCAGAAAAAATGGATTTGCTAGGAGCGCTTCTTTTGTTTTGAGAACAATGAGTGCAAATATTCACACATTGTACTGTAGCTTATGAGCTAACACATGCAAGAAAGTAAGAGGTTGTATCTAATACGTGGATATGACGTAGGATTACTTTCTCGGTATAAATATTTGGCGACTGTGTTAGGGAAACCGCTTTTTTCCATCACGGAAACGCATCGTTTTATTATGACAAAATTACACATTTTCGAGTTACGCACGGAATTTTTGGTTTATTCAATAGATAATTAAAAAAAAAACGAAAAATTACTGGAGGAATTTCTTACGAAAAGTTTCCAATCGTGAAATATTCGCGATCAATCATATAAATTTGTGATTTGTTTGTTTTTTCTAGCGTCTTTAAGGAAACCTTACCTTAATTTGAAGTGTTTCTCGTTAATTGACAAGGTCATGTGATATTCGGTTATTGAGAGAATTTGTATGTACTACTTCAATACTGTTACGCATTTGACCACAATCGTTTGGTTGTTGGGTACATTATCAAAGAGCCCCCGGCTGGCAACAAGGCGAGCGAAAGTTCAATGAAAATTAACTCTTAAACAACAATTCTGGCAGTTCTGAAAAGAACGGTTTTGTCGAGATGGTTGAGTAATGCTGAACTATTAGAGTGTTCAACACGGATGAGGCTGGCGAGCTGTATGTTGTTTGGAACGAGAATGACGCGCTTGGCATAGATGGCCCACAGCGACTCATAAAGAGCTACTGAATGCGATCGGCAGCGGTGCGGCTTCTTCCTCCTTCTTTGGTGAATAGACGCTCATGTGGGCTACAAGTCACTGCTTGCGGGCAGCCTTTCGCTGTGTAATGGAGAACAATGTTCATTGCCACACGCATAAAGCACTGCTGCTGATGACGACGGACCGGACACCACCACACACGGTGATTGAATGAGCACCGTTCGGAGAGAACGGATGGCATTAGATTTTGAAATCTGTGTTAGGGAAAGTTCTTTTGATTTTTAATTTTGATCACCATAGCAGCAGTTGGACATTTTTGAAGTTTTCTTTAGTAACCTATTGAAAATTGATAAAGTGTTCATTTTAGCTGATTCGCAGATAAATTTCAAATCGATTGGCTTGTTTAGAATAAAAATTCATCCGCTATTGACAATAAGTGCTAAAAATCTGACTACTTTTTGTAGCGCAGTCGATTTTGGTTTTTTTTTTGCTCGATAGAACGGATATGGGCGATTGCGACGAAGTAGTGCCTTACTCTAGTATAATGCAAATTATTGTTTCGCATACAGATAAGATTTTAAACCATTTTGACGATTCCATGGATATATATATATATCGCTCATTTCATGTGATTAGACATTTTGATAATGTAAAAATATATACATACAGTGTGGCACATATATATTCAATCAAAAATTAATCAAACATTACAGAAAAATTAATGCTTGCTGTTCCGGAAACATACGGTACAGAAACTAACGATTTTAAATTGGCTCACTACTTGGCTAGCCTATTGGTCCCAAGTACATCTATAAGCGTACCCTAATCTAGTCAAAATTCTAGTACTACACTTTGTCTGTTTTGATCTGGGGGGGACGTGCTGTCAAATCAGCCTACTGATCATTCTTGTATGAAACTGGTTCCAAACGTAAACAAACGCTGTAAGTTTCTTATCGCTTGTTTACGTTTGGAACCAGTTATGCGAGGCATGCGAGGTAGGCGATGATTGTTCGTATTTGACAGCCACCTCCCCCCCTTGGTTTTGATTCGCTATGAAAGTTTGACAGATAAAATGAGGAATTCGTGGATGTTCCTATGTTTCGAGGGGTGCATCGATTGACATAGGACCGAAGATAGTACCAGAGCTGAGCCAAAAAGTTGAGCATGTTTCTTCGGGACCTTATGGTCTTAGGGTTACCTCTATGATATTACTCTTTTCATCAGGATGGAGCTCCAGTACACATAGCAAATCATACATAAGGTACGATGAATTTAAGACTGTGAATAAAAATATATGGTACGTGTCCGTTGTGACGACTTTAGGAAAGGTTTTTTTTTAAACTTTATTAAGGAGATTTTTAGCGATGGGCTAGTTCATCTCCAAGCTTTAACAAGGGTGTTGCCGCAAGTCTACCAATTTACCACAGGGGTGGTGAATCTGGTAACCCGGTCGCTGAAGGCGACGCGTCCTACAGAAACGTCACCCGCTGTCACCGATGATCAACCGAGCTCAGGACGGTCGAGCTGTCAAACGAAAACCCTGCACGACCTCGGATGACTACGGCGTTTTAGTGGAGTGATATTTGTATTTAATTAGTTGAATTTCCTATTAACCTTAAATCTATTTTTCCGTGGATTAAAGTTATATACATATTGCTAACCATAAAAGCACTAAATTGTAAGTTACTTGTCCTAAATCTACCATTTCTGTTCTAATTAATCCTATTAATTGTAGCTTTGAAGCTGATAAAAATATAGCTCTCGAAAATTAGTGCAAGGGGGTTTTATTACGGCAACAATTCTTCAAAGAATTTACCTTGAACGATGCCGAACCCCCCGGATCCTCCACGTATGCCTGCAGATAAAGAGGTTAGTTGTGTGGCGTGCAGCAAGTCCGATTTGCCGGCCAACTTCGTGCAATGCGACACCTGTGATTGCTGGTGGCATTTCGCATGTGCCGACGTCGATTCATCGATTAGCGAACGGGCATGGATATGCACCAAGTGCGAAGCTGCCCCCAGCGTGTCGGCAAGAAGCAGCAAATCCAACAAAAGCGGATCGACTGTCGCTCACGAGCTCGAACGACTGAAGCGACAGCAAGACCTCGAGCGGCAACAGGCGGATTTGAAGCTGCAGATGAAATTTTTAAAGCAGCAACAAAAACTGCTGGATAAGGCCAGAGCGGCCGAGGAGACCCGGAGTCAGAAGAGCCAAGTAAGTAGTCAGGCACATAATCGGCGAGTGCGTCGATGGGTAGAGGAGTCGTCCCGTGACGGTACGGAAGAAGGCGCGGTGGGCGGAAATCCAGCACCAGCTGCCTCGCCAATCGATCACGGCGTTCAACCACAAGGTTCCAACACCGGTGACCCGAATCAAACCCAGGGGAGAGCGAAATCTCGCGATCGGTCGCAGTCGCGTAACGAAGTGGCTGAATTGCGAGCACAGTTGGAGCAATGCATGAAGCGGATGGAAGAAGCTTTCCGTCAGCAGCCAGCGAACACGGTACCGCAAGCGCCACCGCTGTGGGTACCCGAACCGGGAAGGATGACACGTGATGAACACCGGGATACAGGTGCTATTCCTAAAACGTATCCTAACCCGGAACAAGCAGGTAAGCGTCAGGCCCCTCTTCACGCTCAAAATAAAGGCAATCCTGGTTTATTTGACATAAGTCCTCCCACAACCAACCAAAACAACCACCCATTTCCTCAGTTTGTGCCACCGCAAAGTACAAACCCACTCTCAAACATTAACGATCGCCTTCCTTACATGAATGGGTCCAACCGTCAAGTTTTCCCCCTACGAAATCCCCCTAGAAATCCCCCCGTGAATGTGCAATTGGGTCCCACGTCGCAGCAGCTTGTAGCCCGTCAGTCCTTAGCTAGGGATCTTCCTACGTTCACCGGGGACCCAGCCGAATGGCCTATATTTATCTCCAGCTACAACTACACGACCGAAGCTTGCGGCTATACGGATGGCGAAAACATGATCCGGCTACAACGTTGCCTGAAGGGCAGTGCGCTCGAGAGTGTCAGGAGCAGACTTGTGATACCTTCCACCGTTCCACAGGTCATCGAGGCACTGCAGATGCGCTACGGACGTCCGGAACTCCTGATCAACGCTCTGCTCCAGAAAGTTCGATCGATTCCAGCACCAAGATCGGATCGATTAGAGGGGCTCATCCATTATGGGACCGCTATACAGGCACTGTGCGATCACATCGAGGCGGCGAACGAACTCAGTCACCTGTCTAATCCTACACTTCTGCAAGAACTGGTAGCTAAACTGCCAGCGGACCAGAAGATGATGTGGGCTGGGTATAGACGATGTTTTGCGGGCATCGTAGACCTGAGAACGTTCTGTGCTTACATGCAGCAAGTCGTCGAGGATGCTACGAGTGTACTTTCGTTCGAGTCGGACGGGAACAGATGTCACGGAAGAGAGCAGGGAAAGGAAAAAGCAAAGCAGAAGGGATTCGTCAACCAACACGCGTCCACCGTCGAAGGGTCGTCGGAAGCAGCTGTACAGAAGCCGGCTGACAAGATCGAATGCGTGAACTGTAGTAAATTTGGACATCGTATTCGAGATTGTGGGGAGTTCAAAGCTCTCAGTATCGACAATCGTTGGCGGAAAATTCGTTCGTTGGGCGTCTGCCAAAACTGCCTGTTTAGGCATGGCAGGCGGTCATGCCGAGTCATTACACGCTGCGGCATCGACGGGTGTCAGTATAGGCACCATCCTCTCCTACATTCAACGCAAAGGTCATCGAGTGCTGTCACGCAGGTAGCGGATAATCATACTCATCGTCTGCTTACTTCGAGTGTTCTCTTCAGGATAGTTCCCGTGACTCTCTATGGGAATAGCGGCCAGGTAAATACCTTTGCCTTTCTAGATGAAGGGTCCTCATTGACGTTGATCGAAGGGGAGCTAGTGAACCAGCTTGGGATAACCGGAAGACCACAACCTCTCTGCCTGCGATGGACGGCAAACACCTCCCGTACGGAGAAATCTTCACAGAGTGTTTCCATTTCGATCTCTGGTGAAGGTAAGGAACGGAAGTTCACTATCGTTGGAGCGCGAACGGTCGAATGCTTGAATCTACCGACACAAAGCTTCCATTTGGAGAATGCAGCGGAGCGCTTCAAACATTTGAAGCATCTACCATTGAAGAGCTACCAGGATGCTACTCCTAGGATTCTGATAGGGCTCGATAATCTGCGGTTGGCCCTACCACTGAAGGTCAGAGAAGGAGATGGATCCGGACCTGTTGCAGCCAAAACCAGGCTTGGCTGGTGCGTTTACGGCCAGCAGCAGCAGCTGGAGCAGGAATCGTACAGTTTTCACGTGTGCGAGTGTACGAAAAACGAAGAGCTCCATGAAACGGTAAAGCAATTCTTCGCCGTAGACGAAGTAGGAGCGGCCAACCCCATTCTCTCGGCCGAGGATCAACGAGCGCAGGAGCTACTGGAGCAAACGACCCGGCGAGTTGGAGACAGATACGAAACCGGACTGCTGTGGCGGAAGGATCACGTCGAGTTACCGGAAAGCTATCCTATGGCGCTGAGCCGAATGAAATGTTTGGAGCGTCGTATGGAGCGAGATTCAACACTGAAACAGAAAATACAGCAGCAAGTTCGGGATTACGTGATCAAGGGCTACGCACACGTTGCGTCGGATGCAGAACTGGAGAGAGCTGACCCAAGAAGGGTGTGGTACCTTCCGTTGGGAGCAGTAACGAACCCGAAGAAGCCCGAAAAGGTGCGCATTATCTGGGACGCTGCTGCCAAGGTGGACGGGTTGTCGTTGAACAGCCATCTGTTGAAGGGACCCGACCAGTTGACCTTTCTTCCTGCTGTTCTATTCCGCTTCCGGCAGTTCCACATTGCGGTTAGCGCAGACATCGCAGAGATGTTCCATCAGATTTTGATGATAGCACGCGATAAGCAGTCATTAAGATTCCTATTTCGCTTCGATCCCACACTGCCTCCCATAGTCTACGTTATGGACGTAGCTACATTCGGAGCAACCTGCTCACCGGCTTCAGCGCAGTTCGTAAAGAACTTAAACGCCAAGGAGCACTCGCAGCAGTATCCTCGTGCTGCTCAACGGATAGTAGACAACCACTACGTTGACGACTATCTCGACAGCTTCGGGGATGTAGAAGAAGCCAAGCAGATTGCTGCAGAAGTGCGCTTAGTTCATCGCAACGGTGGCTTCGTTCTGAGGAACTGGAATGCCAACAGCGATGCAGTGCTGGAGTTCCTGGGAGAGCCAGGGATCGATAGAAACAAGAATATCAACCTGGTTGACAAGGAGCACACTGAGAGGGTTCTCGGAATGCTGTGGATGCCCGCAACCGACGAACTATGCTTCTCAACGCAGATGAACGAGGAAGTGCGCACGCTTATCGAGACTTCCACTCGGCCTACAAAACGGCAAGTACTGCGCTGTGTGATGACGTTGTTCGACCCGCTAGGATTACTGGCGACGTTCCTCATTCACGGAAAGGTTCTAATTCAGGAGCTATGGCGGACCGGAATCAACTGGGATGAGAATATCAAGGACGCTGAGCTGAATCGCTGGCGGGAATGGGTGCAAATGATCCAGTTTATTTCAACGGTTCGTATCCCGAGATGCTACTTCGAAGCAGCGACGAGTTCCACCTATGAGAATGCACAGCTGCACGTTTTCGTTGACGCAAGCCCTGCGGCGTATTGCTGCGTCGTGTATCTACGCGTGATGGATTCTGAGGGTAACGGACAGTGTTCTTTAGTGGCAGCAAAGGCGAAGGTGGCTCCTCTGAAGCCAATGTCCATTCCCAGGCTTGAGCTACAAGGGTGCGTACTTGGAACACGGATGTTGAAATTTGTTCAGGAAAACCACACCATCCCGATCACGAAGCGCTATCTGTGGACGGACAACACTACGGCGCTTTCTTGGATCAGGTCGGATCCACGCAACTACCGCCCCTTCGTTGCCCACAGAGTAGGAGAAATTCTGGAGACTACCAGCGTAGATGAATGGAGATACGTTCCATCGTTGTCCAACCCGGCTGACGAGGGGACTAAGTGGGGCAAAGGACCGTATTTCAGCACCGATAGCCGCTGGTTTGCTGGACCACAGTTCCTGAGGTACCCGGAAGACGACTGGCCAACTCCACCAGAGTTATCTTCCATCGAGACTGAGGAGATACGTCCTTCTGTTCTTTTCCAATTTCCGTATGAGCCAGTCATTCAGTTTGAAAGGTTCCCGAAGTGGGAGAGGCTACATCGCACGGTAGCTTATGTGCTACGTTTCATGAACAACATCAACGCAAAATGTGTGGCGAATTGTAACAAGAGGAGCTCCAGGCAGCGGAAGCGGTGATCATGAAGCAGGTGCAGTGGCAAGTGTTTCCGGACGAGATGACAATTCTCACGAAGAACAAGTCTGCTGCGGAAGGTGAAGCACAACCGATCCCGAAAAGCAGTTCGCTGTATCAACTAGTACCGGCGTTGGACGAAGACGGAGTAATGCGACAGAGCGGACGCATCGGAGCAGCAAAACATGCATCGTACAATCTGCGGCATCCAGTGATTCTTCCCCGGAAGAGTGAAGTGACTACGCTCGTGGTGGATGAGTACCACCGGAAGTATAAACATGCCAACCCGGAAACTGTAGTCAATGAAATCCGTCAGCATTTTGAAATCCCTCGATTGCGAACAGTGGTGCGAAGGTGCAGCCGTGAGTGTAGGTACTGCATACTTCGCCGAGCGCGGCCGTACATCCCTCCGATGGCTCCACTTCCATCGGCCCGTCTTGCAGCCTGCAGCCGTCCATTTAGTTTCGTCGGATTGGATTATTTCGGTCCGTTGTTGGTGAAGCAAGGAAGAGCGAGCGTGAAGAGGTGGATCGCACTTTTCACTTGTCTCACCGTGCGCGCGGTCCATCTGGAAGTTGTGCACAGCCTGACGACTTCATCATGCGTTTCCGCCGTCCGAAGGTTCATCGGCCGTCGCGGAGCACCAGTAGAATTCTACAGCGATAACGGGACCAATTTTCAAGGCGCCGAACGACTTCTGCGGGAACAAATTGAGCAGGGACTATCCGCCACCTTCACCAGCTCGAAGTGCAAATGGCTCTTCATTCCGCCAGGTGCTCCACACATGGGCGGTGCCTGGGAAAGGATGGTCCAGTCAGTGAAAGCCGCGATGGGTGAAGCTTACGGGGATGGGAAACTTGACGAGGAAGGACTTGGGACTTTGGTTGTGGAGGCTGAGAGCGTAGTCAATGCTAGGCCTTTGACGTATCTGCCGTTAGACTCGGAGGAATCTGAGGCACTAACACCGAACCATTTCTTGCTCGGGAGTTCGAGCGGTATCAAGGAACCGGGCCGGGACATTCGCTACCAGCAGCGGAACCTTCAGAAGACGTGGGTAGAGATACAACAGCAACTGGACATCTTCTGGAAACGGTGGCTTAAAGAATATCTGCCAGTTATTCGCCGGCAACCGAAGTGGTTCGAAGAAGCTGCGAGAGAGATCAAGGATGGTGACTTGGTTCTCATTACCGATGACGGCAGACGAAGCGAGTGGACCAGAGGACGTGTGGAGCAAGCTATTAGAGGACCTGATGGAAGAGTGCGTCAAGCTATCGTGCGGACTAAGGGAGGTAGTGTACGAAGACCGGTTACCAAGATCGCCTTGCTGAATGTTGGAGAAACCCGTGCAGTCTTGGCCGATGGCAAGATGCACCCGGCGGAGGATGTTGCCGCAAGTCTACCAATTTACCACAGGGGTGGTGAATCTGGTAACCCGGTCGCTGAAGGCGACGCGTCCAACAGAAACGTCACCCGCTGTCACCGATGATCAACCGAGCTCAGGACGGTCGAGCTGTCAAACGAAAACCCTGCACGACCTCGGATGACTACGGCGTTTTAGTGGAGTGATATTTGTATTTAATTAGTTGAATTTCCTATTAACCTTAAATCTATTTTTCCGTGGATTAAAGTTATATACATATTGCTAACCATAAAAGCACTAAATTGTAAGTTACTTGTCCTAAATCTACCATTTCTGTTCTAATTAATCCTATTAATTGTAGCTTTGAAGCTGATAAAAATATAGCTCTCGAAAATTAGTGCAAGGGGGTTTTATTACGGCAACAAAGGGGTTAAAGCTGTTTATCCAGGCAAAAGGGGAATCAAACGAGAGACGCTTATTTTTGTGTACTCTGCTAACTACAGTTGAACCAGTTATGGCACTATCTCATAAAGGGTTGTTTGCCGGTAATTTCACTACTGTACGTATTTGTATTTTAAATCAAATCTAATAATGGTTAATCATCCAAGTGTGGTTCAAAGTGAATGTAAGTGATACATAATGTAAACTATGTCAATTGAATCTGTTTTTCTTCAAATTCGAGAGCTCACGAACTCCCTTGCCGGCCAGAATACTGAAATAACAAGATTCCGGTAATGTCGGTAATCGGGTCGATAATGGAGTCCGTGAGCTCCCAAATTCGGAAAGATCCAAATGGCATAGCTTACTTTATCTATAACTTCCACTCACTTTAAGCCACATTTGGATTTTTGTGGTTTTAGTATTTGATTTTAAAATAAAAATACAAACAGTAATTAAAGTAGATGAAAACAACTTTAATCTCATATACGCAATGGTACTAGTTATGTCACTACACCATTTATACCAAACGGCCAGTACTAGTTCATGCCATAACTGGTACAAGTAGTGCCATATCTGGTTCACCTCCCCTAGTATGTAATTATGATCTCTTTATTGATTAGCGTATTCATCCTGAATCTCTTAAGCGAATAAAAAACGTTCGAACAATGAACCACTTCATTCGATCAGTTCGAAATGACGTTTACTATTACTCGAAATTAAAAATAAAACAACATTTTGAGATTTTTTCTTCTAGAAAAAAACGCCAACATTTATGACTTTCATAAAAAAAGTAATTTGTTGTTCCAGTTTTGTGAAACCTGCTAGAAAAGCCCGCCAACAGTGCTTGACAAGATGGTCCATTGAGTTAAATTGTATTATATCTGTAAAAAAGTTTCTACATAGTTAATGAAATACCTCCACATCGGATGTGAAATGAATCCAGTGACCAAGACTACTTGATTTCACTTTCAGACGACATCAAATACGGTAAGCACACACATTAAACTACACCTCCCATGCATCATAAGTGGTCACGAAGTGGAAAACTTTCCCAGCAGCAGCGCTCCCAAGCACAAACTCACCACGTTTTAATATATTTTAAGATAAAAATCTTCTCAAACTGATATTGTGCTGCCCTCGACTAGCAAGTAGCCGTAATACGATGAGGAAAGTAAGACAAAAAAGAAACGAATTATGGTGCGAATCGTTAAAAGGCCTCAACATCAAACCACGTACGGTAACAAAAGTAAATCTCAATTATTCTGCACTTTCAGGTCATATTTTTTTTTTCAGTGAGCGTAAGCACGGTAAATCATTCCAAAAGTGCTAATGAAATTTATTTCCTCACACAATGCGAGCCGACCATTTTCATGATAATAAACACTAAACATTTCTTTGCATACAATCGAGACGCAGTGTATATCGGTGGAGTGAAATAAGATGTAGTTAAACAATTACATGAACTAAACGGAAGATATAAACAATCGTTATGGTCTAATGAAGTGTTCAAAAAATAATCTACAAGTTCTAAATCATTGTTAAATTGACTATTTAGGTTTTGGCAGGCATCTTGCCATCAAACTGAAGATTTCAAGTGAAAATTTATTAATTTTACCATCTTAGACATTGAAGCCATAGCGATGACTTAACGAGACTCGTAGAACACTATAGCTATTAGCATAACAGTTCCATGTAAATAGAAATTCGACAGGACATGGAACTTTTATGTCTCTATTTAGACAAATTAAGTCAGATGAAACAAATTGATTAATATATCAGTTTGATTTTTGTGAAATCATAAAAATGTTCTTCCACCTCCTTATTTTGTTCTCTGGGAGACCAATCTTCAGGAATTAGGCAAAATGGTTGCCATTTAAGGGTGCCACAATGACAATGAAGGTTCGTTTTGAAAATTACTATCAGAAGAGCAAAGTTCATACAAATCGCTACCAAATTCGTGTTATTTGAGGTGAGATCCATATTCGTACACACATTCTCAAAAATGTCAAGACATAGGCTAAAATATACTGACAGATTCATAAAAGCCCACCCCGACAGTGCTAATAAATTCCTCAACAACACCCTTCCGGAGCGCTAAATCGGTAGCATTTAAAAGTAAAACAAATACCATTCCGAACATGCTTTTGCAGTAATGTTCAAATCATAATGCAAAGTTAACCTTTGCCACTGCACCATTGCAACTATTTTCATGAGCAAATTTTATGGCTTCAGTCGGTGATCGGTAACTTGCAACAGGCGATACGGACGCCAGATGTTTGACGATGGCTGTAGGAATTTATATGCAACCGAGAAACCGTCAAAGTTGGATGCATATTATGGTAACCTTAACCCATATCATGCACACGCCAAGTGAACGGACCAATAAATACTTTTACAACAACTCACGACCTGCTAGAAGAACTGACGATTATGAGTGTTTAGTTACATGATTGTTCAGCAGATTGGTGCAATTTGCTAAAACATAAACATTAATTAGCAATTCATAAAGCTGGCGTTGCTCAGCTGGTGGACGGTGTGTGGAGAACTTGACATTATTTGATTTTGCAAAAAAAAATACAACATATCATCATTGACGGCTATAGCAACAATCAATACGAAACTAACGATTTTAAATTGGCTCACTACTTGACTAGCCTATTGGTCCATAGCAAACGATTAACGTACCCCATTCTAGACGACATTCTAGTACTACACAATGTTTGTTTTGATTCGCTACGAAAGTTTGACAGATAAAATGAGGGGTTAGTCGATTTTCCTATGTTTCGAGGGGTTAATCGATTAGCTTGGGACCGAAGAGAGTACCAGAGCTGAGCCAAAAAGTTGAGCACGTTATTTTGGGGCCTTCTAGTCTTAGATAGAGGTAACTATGGTAGTAGTGTTGCCATGTTTTACACTGAAAAATTGCAATAGCAGTTTCGTCACCAAAGTTTTCAAGCCGCTCCGTCTGTCACTTCGTTTGTGGTAGTACTGATCACCAGGAAGAGTTTTGTAATCAAAGGGTAAAAAAATAATTCTAAGAAAATTCCATTACAGTGAACCACATTATTTCAATTGATTTCTTCGCCAGTTAGTCGTCTGTCACTTCGTTTGTGGTACCACACCGTTCGTGGCCGAAGTATTGACGGTTTGCCAAACCAAAGCCTTTTCCCCAAATTTTTCGGTAAAAATCGTTTTACCGAAAAATTTGGTGAAAAGACTATGGTTTGGCAAGCCATTTGTGAGTGTTGTATGCTTTCCAAACCGTTTGTAACAACGGATACAATGACAACCGTTGTTTACGTGAGTGGGTGTTTGAACAAGCTTCTGTTTTGGCCGGATTTGGCGTCGGTTTATCACTCCAAGGACACGGTAGTCTGGTATAAAGCCAACAAGGTCCAATTCGTACCCAAGGAAATGAATCCGCCAAACTGTCGGTAGGCCAGACCAATTGAAACTTTTTGGGCCCTGTTTGCGGAAACGTGTAAAGGCAGCGGATTCCGTTACAAAGTTTGCGAATGATAGGGAAAAAGTATCAAAAATTGTTTGAAAGGCATCTGTGCTGAAGATAATGAGTAGCGTGAGATCAAAAATCCTCTACTTGGATTACGACTGATCGAATCTCGGATTTTCTACGTTAAACTGCATGAGATCATGAATACGAAATAAAAATCGAATTTGCTGTAAACCGAGTTACGTCATCGTTTTTTAAATCGTGCTTAGACATTCTGGGACACCCTAGGTTAACAGGATTTTAGTGATGAGTACACTGTGAATTTTTGTCAGGACAGCATATTAAATTTTTTCATAAGCTAGTTTCCAACGATAGTGTCAATACAGGTACAAATCTTACCGATCGTCATAAATTGAAAGCCTCAATAATCGAGAATTCGACAATCGTGTTATTTTAAAATCTCCAAATTGCTTAGTTCAACCACAATTTTTACATGAAACTGTCGTTATAGATATCAAATTCAATAAATCATTATAACCTTCACTGTGGATCAAAATCATAATCCAATTCAAAATGTGCCTGACGATTGGTTAATATTTGTGCATATTGTATTGATTGTATAGGAATCTCATAGAAGCATGAATTGTAATTGTTTGTCAGCAAAGTACAGACTCGACATTAGAGGAAAATTAAAATAGCATTGTACGATTTACAGTAACGGAATTACAGTAATTACCCGATTTGTTTACCCTCTTTTTCAAAATATTTTTTCAGAGATAATATTGCACCAAAGTATACATTAAACATCTTGAAGATGAATGCGAATGATTTTTAATTCGGTTATGAGAAATTATTCAAAGACGGTCGGAGGGACACAACTCGGGGGCAACTTGACAGCTCCGGTCTATTGCCAGTGTACCCCGACAATTTGGTGCTGGTGGTTCTGTCAAACTCACAAATTTCAGAAGTGTTATCTTAAAAGGGCGAATGCGGAAATGATGTGCAGTAAACAAAATTAAAGTTTAAAATTCATCTTATTGTCGCGCGCTCACCAAACCGCACACGCGATGTTAGCGACATAGGAACTCCAGTTACAAATTTCGCTTTGATTCTCAGTAGTATGCACAATGCAGTATCAGTTTATGAAACTTTTTTTTTGTGTGTACCGTATATGAGCAGTACAGAACCAAATGAGAATTGAACAAGGATACTTTCGGTGTTTTCAACGCTATTG